CATTTTGAAATTTGGCACCTTGTGAAGGGTTTTCTCAGAGCCACACACGACTTCTGGCGCTCATATGACCTTATGCAGTTGCGAGCGCTCTATACCAAAATATGTTGAAACCTCTATACCAAAACTAAACCGCCACACAGCTGAGCTTGTTTACCCACGGCTGCAGTCTCATGTCTTACTGTTAATGGACTCATGGTCTAGGTTGGGGGAAATTGTACTAACATATATATATGTAAGCACCTTGGTGTTGATTTTATAAGAACATCTTCAATTAGAGACATGGATTCAACTTTTGATTGAGGGAATTATTTTTAGGATCAAACGTCTAAGATAAAATAGGGATAGGAGCATGGACAAAGTAAAGGCTATGGTGTGACGGTGGTGCTATCGGTTGACCATCGGAAAGACACATTTATCCTACATCGTTCTGATGTTGGGTAATCATCAGTTTCCGATAGTGTGTGGGAACCCGACATCGTCCTGATGGTGGGTTGTCGTCGGTTTCCGATGGTGTGTCGATATCCTTCATCGCGCCGATGGTGGGATGTCATTGGAAACCGATGGTAAGTCGGTATCCATCATCGTGCCGATGGTGGGTTGTCATCGGAAACCAATGGTAATTCGGATTCCATCATCGCGCCGATGGTGGGTTGTCATCGTTTTCGATGGTGTGTCGATATCCATCATCGCGGCGATGGTGGGTTGTCATCGGAAACCGATGGTAAGTCGGCATCCATCATCGTGCCGATGGTGGGTTGTCATCGGTTTCCGATGGTGTGTCGATATCCATCATCGCGCCGATGGTGGGTTGTCATCGGAAACCGATGGTAAGTCGGCATCCATCATCGTGCCGATGGTGGGTTGTCATCGGTTTCCGATGGTGTGTCGATATCCATCATCGCGCCGATGGGGGGTTGTCATCGGAAACCGATGGTAAGTCGGCATCCATCATCGCGCCGATGGTGGGTTGTCGTCGGAAGCCGATGGTAAGTCGGCATCCATCATCGCGCCGATCTTGGGATGTCGTCGGAAGCCGATGGTAAGTCGGCATCCATCATCGCGCCGATGGTGGGTTGTCGTCGGAAACCGATGGTAAGTCGGCATCCATCATCGCGCCGATGGTGGGTTGTCGTCGGAAGCCGATGGTAAGTCGGCATCCATCATCGCGCCGATCTTGGGATGTCGTCGGAAGCCGATGGTAAGTCGGCATCCATCATCGCGCCGATGGTGGGTTGTCGTCGGAAGCCGATGGTAAGTCGGCATCCATCATCGCGCCGATGGTGGGTTGTCGTCGGAAGCCGATGGTAAGTCGGCATCCATCATCGCGCCGATGGTGGGTTGTCGTCGGAAACCGATGGTAAGTCGGCATCCATCATCGCGCCGATGGTGGGTTGTCGTCGGAAGCCGATGGTAAGTCGGCATCCATCATCGCGCCGATGGTGGGTTGTCGTCGGAAGCCGATGGTAAGTCGGCATCCATCATCGCGCCGATGGTGGGATGTCGTCGGAAGCCGATGGTAAGTCGGCATCCATCATCGCGCCGATGGTGGTCGGCATCCATCATCGCGCCGATGGTAAGTTGTCGTCGGAAACCGATGGTAAGTCGGTATCCATCATCGCGCCGATGGTGGGTTGTCATCGGAAACCGACACACAGCTGAGCTTGTTTACCCACGGCTGCAGTCTCATGTCTTACTGTTAATGGACTCATGGTCTAGGTTGGGGGAAATTGTACTAACATATTGTTTGGGAACCCGACATCGTCCTGATGGTGGGTTGTCATCGGTTTTCGATAGTGTGTCGATATCCATCATCGCGCCGATGGTGGGTTGTCATCGGAAACCGATGGTAAGTCGGCATCCATCATCGCGCCGATGGTGGGTTGTCATCGGAAACCGATGGTAAGTCGGCGTCCATCATCGCGCCGATGGTGGGTTGTCATCGGAAACCGATGGTATGTCGGTATCCATCATCGCGCCGATGGTGGGTTGTCAGCGGAAACCGTCACACAGCTGAGCTTGTTTACCCATGGCTGCAGTCTCATGTCTTACTGTTAATGGACTCATGGTCTAGGTTTGGGGAAATTATACTAACATATATATATATGGTGATGATTTTATAAGGACATCTTCAATTACAGAAATGGATTCAATTTTTGATTGAGGGAATTATTTTTAGGATCAAACGTCTAAGATAAAATAGGGATGGGAGCATGGGCAAAGTAAAGACTATGGTGTGACAGCGGTGCTATCGGTTGACCATCGGAAAGACACATTTATCCTACATCGTTCTGATGTTGGGGGATCATCGGTTTCCGATAGTGTTTGGGAACCCGACATCGATATCCTTCATCGTGCCGATGGTGGGTTGTCATCGAAAACCTATGGTAAGTTTGCATCCATCTTCGCGCCGATGGTGGGTTTTCATCGGAAACCGATGGTAAGTCGGCATCCTTCATTGTGCCGATGGTGGGTTGTCATCGAAAACCGATGGTATGTCGGCATCCATCATCGCGCCGATGGTTGGTTGTCATCGGAAACCGATGGTAAGTTGGCATCCTTCATCGCGCCGATGGTGGGTTGTCATCGGAAACCGATGGTAAGTCGGCATCCTTCATCGTGCCGATGGTTGGTTGTCATCGGAAACCGATGGTAAGTCGGCATCCATCATCGTGCCGATAGTGGGTGGGTTGTCATCGGAAACCGATGGTAAGTCGGCGTCCATGATCGCGTCGATGGTGGGTTGTCATCGGAAACCGATGGTAAGTCGGCATCCATCTTCGCGCCGATGGTGGGTTGTCATCGGAAAACGATGGTAAGTTTGCATCCATCTTCGCGCCGATGGTGGGTTGTCATCGGAAACCGATGGTAAGTTGGTATCCATCATCGTGCCAATGGTGGGTTGTCATCGGAAAGCGATGGTAAGTTTGCATCCATCTTTGCGCCGATAGTGGGTTGTCATCGGAAACAGATGGTAAGTCGGCATCCATCATCGTGCCGATGGTGGGTGGGTTGTCATCGGAAACGGATGGTAAGTCGGCATCCATCATCGCACCGATGGTGGGTTGTCATCGGAAACCGATGGTAAGTCGGCATCCATCTTCGCGCCGATGGTGGGTTGTCATCGGAAAACGATGGTAAGTTTGCATCCATCATCGTGCCGATGGTGGGTGGGTTGTCATCGGAAACCGATGGTAAGTCGACATCCATCATCACGCCGATGGTAGGTTGTCATCGGAAACGGATGGTAAGTCGGCATCCATCATCGCACCGATGGTGGGTTGTCATCGGAAACCGATGGTAAGTCGGCATCCATCATCGTGCCGATGGTGGGTTGTCATCGGAAACCGATGGTATGTCGGCATCCTTCATCGCGCCGATGGTGTGTTGTCATCGGAAACCGATGGTAAGTCGGCATCCATTATCGCGCCGATGGTGGGTTGTCATCGGAAACCGATGGTATGTCGGCATCCTTCATCGCGCCGATGGTGGGTTGTCGTCGGAAACCGATGGTAAGTCGTCGTCCATCATCGCGCCGATGGTGGGTTGTCATCGGAAACCGACACACAGCTGAGCTTTTTTACCCACGGCTGCAGTCTCATGTCTTACTGTTAATGGACTCATGGTCTAGGTTGGGGGAAATTGTACTAACATATATATATATATATATATATACACCTTGGTGATGATTTTATAAGAACATCTTCAATTACAGACATGGATTCAATTTTTGATTGAGTGAATTATTTTTAGGATCAAACGTCTAAGGTCAAATAGGGATGGGAGCATGGGCAAAGTAAAGACTATGGTGTGACAGCGGTGCTATCGGTTGACCATCGGAAAGACACATTTATCCTACA